CTTTGCAGAAGCCAAATGTAACAACACCATTCCCTCCAGCATTGGGTATATGCCGTTCCAAGTTGCAACAGGACAAAGCTTCTACCTGATGCCTGAACTACCAACTAACCAATCCACATCCCCTCTCTGAAGGAATGGATAGCACAACTCCAGCATACCTGGCCGGTCATGAGAAAAGCCTTAGATGAGGCTAGGGAGGCATACAAGATTCAGGCGGATAAAAAAATGAATAGAACCCAAGCTCTTCCAAGTAGGGGAATATATAAAATATTTAAAATCTCTACAACCGTCAAAGAAGTTGGGACCAAAATTTGTCAGTCCTTTTCCCATTAAACGATAATAAATCCGGTGACTGTAGAATTGGAACTCCCCAAAACGCTAAGATAGGTTCACCCTGTATTTCACTGCAGCCTATTGAAACAAGAATTAAGCTTGCCCTTAAGGCCAGCTGTAGCCCCTCCTCCTCCTCCAATCATAGTGGAAGGAGAGCAGCATTTTGAGGTCAAAGAAATCCTAGACTCTAGAAAATATCATGGTTCCACAAAATGCCTAATAACCTGGAAAGGCCTACTTCCTTCCCAAAATGAGTGGGTGCATAAACAACATATCAGGACCCTGAGATTACTTAATAAATTTCATGCTAAATACCCTGACTAACCAGACTAACCCTTATGTTTTTCCTCTCCCTATCTTGTTCCATTTGCAGGTGGATCTCTCATTTTTTAAGGGGGGCGGCATGTCAGAACCCAGTTATTGGGAGGGGAGTGATTTCTTTATTCTATGTTCATGCGGTCCTGCCATACTCCTGGGGGAGGGGGGAAAGCTATGGCCACTACAAAGTTATTCTCTCTGCTTTCTTCTATCTGCCCTGCTCTTTGATCTAGTTCTCTTGCTGCCAATCTGGGGTGAGAATGGAATGTGCCTCCGGCCATCTGCCTTATCTCTAGCTGCGGAAGAAAAGGCGCAAAGATCTAACAGTCTAACAACCTTGGGAACAATGTCTTATCAACCCCATTCCCACAGCAGGTTCACACCTGGAGATTGGCTCATTTGAACTGGCTGGATGGACTGTTGGGGTAGGGTTTTCCAGTCACTCCTTTAGCCTACTGATTAGCGTGGGAAACCCTCAGATCCCGCCTTCTATGCCTGCTATCAATTCCTTTTGGAATGAAGCTGTTCCAGGAGTTCTGCTTTCTTGGGAAGAGGGATTCAGGCAGGTCCTTACAACTTCAAATGATTTGACTTCAAACTAAAATACATCCCAGGGGAGCAGGGAATTTCCTGGCAGATGCTCTGTCTTGCATGTCCCAGTATAAGAGCAGTCGAGGGGAGGTGGTGAACTCTATCATTCCAAGCAACAAACGACGCAAGCCATGACCAGGCGGCAGCAGAAGAGGGGCTCGCCCCCCCCCAACGATGCATTTGCTCAGCAACTGAAGCAAGAGCTGCCAAACGATGCGTGGTTTATGGCCCATCAAGGATAACTAATTATGAGGAAGCAGCTGACATGGAAGGGAGATAAATTGTATGTCCCAGACAGTCTGCGACTACATGTTTTGCAGTGCAGCCACAACACTAAGCAAACTGGCCATTTTAATTTTTTAAAAACTCTGCATCTTGCTAATCGCCAGTTCTGGTGGCCAAAGATGAAAAAGGACATTGAGAGCTATGTGAAAAGCTGTGCAGTTTGTGCAGCCAGCAAAAGACTACCGGGAAAGAACCCAAGGCTATTGTAGCAGATTGCTGACCAGGTCAGATCCTGGGAGGAAATAGCCATGGATCTTATCGTGGAACTACCTAAGAGTAGGGAAAACACCGTGATTTGGACTGTGGTAGACTTGTTCTTCAAGCAAGTCCATCTCATCGCATGTTCTTGACTCCCCTGAGCCCCAAAACTACCAAAATTGTTCTTAAAGCATATCTACTGGCTGCATGGAGTACCCAAGTGCACCATTCCAGACCAAGGAGTCCAGTTTACTGCTAGGTCCTGGAGGGAATTTGTGAGGATGATTGGGTCCTCCCAAGGGCTTAGTTTGGCTTTTCATCCGAGTATGAACAGGGCCACAGAACGAGCCAATGCAATGGTGGAACAGTACCTGCGTTGCTATGTCAACTATCAGCAAACTAATTGGGCAGAGCTCCTGCCATTTGCAGAGGTGGCGTACAACAATGCGGTGCACAGTAGCACTAATTTCACCCCCTTTAAGTTAGCCACAGGGGTAGAGTTCATGCCCACACCAGAATGCCCTCAGGAACCTCCCTCCTCAGGCACTTTAACTGAATGGGTAGATTCGTTCCAACAGATTTGGAACAATGAGAAAAAAGGTTTAGCCAAAGCAGCAAAGAGCCAGACAAAACAGGCAGACAAAAGACGAGCTCTCCAAGGAACATTCCACATAGGAGATAAAATGTATGTATCTACTAAATACCTCAAGTTGAGACAAAAAGTTGCAAAAAGTTAGGTCCGAAGTATATAGGCCTTTTTCTTATTGTAAAAGTCATAAACCTGGCAACAGTACAGCTCAAACTGTCTAAAATACTGGGGAAAGTATATCCAGTATTCCACTGCAGTCTACTGAAACTGTTTAGAGGCTCTATGGTGAAACCAGTGGAGGAGGCAGCCCCTGATCCAATACTGGGGGGGGGGGAAGACACCACTATGAAGTCAAGCGAATTTTAAGACTCCAGAATCCACAAAGGGAGATTACAATACTTAATCCAATGGAAAGGTTACCCAATGTCAGAAGCTAGATGGACAAGGGCTCATGATGTGAAAGCGGAGCAGGGCTTTTCAACCAGTGATACATGTACCACCTGTGGTACATTAGCACGTGGCAGATAGTACACAGCCCTGCCCAGCTAAGTGAAGTGGGGGAAGGAACGAGCCAGCACAGGCAAGGACTTACTGTGAGAGAGTCCTCCGGAGCTGCAGAGTGGCTGGGGTGAGGCGAAGGCCCCAGGCTCACTTCTGGCTCACCTGGAAGAGAAAGGAGGAGGAGGGAGGTGGAGACAGGATAGGCTATAAAAGGAGGCAGTTTGGGTGGGAGAGGGAGAGAGAAAAAAAAGCAGCAGCCTTGGGAGGAGGTGGAGTCAGCTCTAGCTGCACTAAAGGGAAAGAAGGAGGAGGAGGGTGGGGGGAGAGGAGAGGAGATCAAGCAGGCCAGCCATGAGCCGATCTACAACTGCTGTGGCAGCCACCTGTGCAGGCAGTAGCAAACAGGCAAGAAATGCAGCAGGGGAAGGGTTGCCCTCCATGAGGAATGAAGAAAGGCAGCATCAGCTGGAGGTGAGGCACGGAGGATGGATGGAGGGAGAGAGGGAGATGGAGAGTGGAAGGATTATGTGCTTTTGTGACTTTGAAGATCTGGGATTTGTGGGCTTTGTGTTCTTAAGGAGTGTTTGGCAATTTCTATTTGGCTGATGGCTAATGTCTCGTGTTAGCTTCTATTGCTCTGCTATTGTTAGCTGTAAGTTTTGCTGCAAGGGATTTTGAAGTATTTTTCTCCTCAGTGGATTTTGCCTGTAGCATTCGTTTACTTATGAATGGAGCCATTTGAGGAGGCTGCCTTAGCCAGAAGCCAGTACTTACTACATTTTTTTTCCTTCCTTAAGTGCTGGCTGTGCTCCTTAACTTTCCTTTCTAGCCAGTAGCTAATTCTTAAAGGGGAATGCGCCTTTTTAAGCTAGTTCACTCAGCAGCTTCTCTTTTCTGTCTCTGGAGGCTTTTCCTTGTTCGATGAATATAAGGAAGAGGGAAAATATGGGGGGGGGCATTCAAATTCTTCCTTCAGAAGGAGAAGGGAATGAGAAAAAGGGAGGCAGTGAAAGAAGGGAGGGAAGGAAATCCCACCTTAGCACTTGGCCACCAGCAGCTCTGCCATTGACTTTGCTTATTAAAATGTTGCAAAAGGGGATCACATGACCCTGGGACACTGTGACCATCATAAATATGAATCAGTTGCCAAGCATCCAAATATAAATCACATGACCCTTGGCAAGCTGCAATGGTCATAAGTGTGAAAAATGGTCATAAGTCATTTCAGTGCAATTGCAAATTTGAACAGTTTTTTTTGTTTTGTTTTTTTGTCATCAAGTTTTTGACATCTTGCTAGGTGGTACTTGAATATTGCCATATCCTAGAAGTGATACAATCGGTGAAAAGGTTGAAAAGTCCTGCCTTAGAGAAGCGATTCCATACTAAGTACCCCCAGAAGTCGGGGCCCTCTCAAGAGAAGGTTAACTATTAATGATGTCTATTCATTGTTTTCCAGGTTTTCCGAAGTCTGTAAGGGGGTCAGCATGTCAAGCTATAAGAGTGCTTGCATTAGAACTGCCATGCTGCTTCTAGCTTGCCTACATTTGCAAGGGGGGGGGGGAGAAGGTTTGGAATGCACAGGTAGATTCTATCCGGATGGGAACCAAGATCACCGGAGGAATGTTGTGGCAAACAGAAACGTTCTTCTCATAACAACTGCCTAAGGATTAATTGGACAATGTGACCTGACCTGTCAGAAGGGGAGGGAAAATTTTACTTTTTTAATTATCTTTTCCCTAACATATTGCCAGAGCTGGTTTTCCATTCTTTAATGCCGGTATCCTGTATCCAATATAGTTTTGAATTAGAAATAGAAATGAAATGCATTGAAATCCTTAGCCAGAACCTTGGCAATTCCTATATAATCTACACTCTGAATTTTTTAATTATTTCAAATCCAAGTACTAACCACTGCAACTACATTCAAAATAAATTTATGAGACAGCAATACCAGACTTTGAATCATCTAAAATGTATACTGTAATCTGTAATTTGGTAAACATTACCAAATGTTACGCATTCTAGCATTTAAACTTTGTTGCTGTTGTATTAAGTTGGCATTGACTTAATCAGTGACGTGAGATGGGCAGCCATGTTAAGTATTTTAAATAAACAGTATTAAGCATTAATACAATCAATTCTGCTTTCTTGGGTGGTTAGCTGAGGTGGGTCCTTACAAACTTACCCTTTCAAAATGGGTTATCTTCATGGTCTTAAGAGTTGTCTCATCAAGCATCAGTGGTGGACCAAGTTCAAAGATATTCCGGAGAAGCTCATTGGACTGCATAAAACAGGTAGTTATTACAATTGTACAAATGTTTGATCAAGGTTTTAAATAATTTCCTTTTAATGTGCAAAATTCACAAAGTAATTATAGCGTTTTCTTTTCTATTGCTAAAAATTTAGTGTATCTATTGCCTACATTTTTTTTTCCCTTATTATGCAGACATATATTATCTAATTTAAAAACTGGTTTGGTAATTTTTCATTATGCTATTTACAGAATAGACTCAAGAAGGTGCCAAAATAGTTTTATTTCTATGTATACCTGTAAATGATATTGCATTCCTGGTCCTAAAATTTCCTTGAAAGTATCATATGTTTGTTTTTTAACCCAACAGTCAATGTACATACGCTCTGGTCCAAACTTGACTGTCTCTGTGGGAAAATCATGTTCCTGTTAAAGAAAAAACATCTGTATCAAATTTACTGTTTTTAAATTCTATACCAGGGGTCTTCAAACTTGGCCCTTTTATGACTTGTGGACTTCAACTCCCAGAATTCCTCAGCTAGGCACACTGGCTGAGGAATTCTGGGAGTTGAAGTCCACAAGTCATAAAAGGGCCAAGTTTGAAAAGCCCTGTTCTATGCTATCCTTTCTTGAACATCTTTCTAATATTTTGGGTTACAACAAGTATTTCCCCAGCAGAATACAGAAATACACAAAACTTTCTAAATATTACTGAAAATCTTGCACTCTTCTTGTTCATCCTAAACATCGGTACTGTCACATTTTAAATTAAAACTTACTCCAAAAAGTTTAATACTACAGGTATTCTAAAGTTCAGTGCTTAAAACAAGAATCCAAGACTTGAAAAGTTTTTGTTTTTATGCTGTTGAAAACAGTGGGCTATTAAATATCACCTCTTGCAAAAAAACACAGTGCAGTATAGGTTTTTGTTTCCTACATAATACAACTAGTTAGCATTAAATAAATATGGATGGATGCTATCAGTAATATGAAATGAAAATAGGACATGTTACAAAATGCATTATCTTGGCTCTGTAAAGCCTCATACAATAGCATGCAAAAAATAGGCAATGAACAGAAGCTTCATTCTTCCTGAGCAGAGTAAACCATTAAAAAATCCCTAAATGCTTCTAGCTAGCAAATAGAATTGTTAAGAAACACTGTTAAGAAACACAAGTTCCATAGAACCATTGATATCAAGGAAAGTCCAGGAAAACTCATTACTAAGACTGCTCCCAATTTATTGTATCTTTAAAACAGTACCCATAAATTCAACTAGGTGCAATTCAAGGAGTTGGTTATCACCTTTAAAGCCCTTCATGCCATACTTGAGGGACCATCTCGTCCCACTGGGATTGGCCTATGCCAGTGATGGCGAACCTTTTAGAGACCGAGTGTCCAAAAACTGCCCCTGCCCCCTCTCAACCCCCTGCCCCGCTCCCACTCCCTCACCCCACCTGCCCGCAGGGCCACTCACCGCCTCCAGGGCCCGCCGATCGCCCAGCAGCGCCATGGCAGCCACACCCTCTGTCCGCGCCCCACAACATCAACACGATGGGGTGTGAGGGCAGAGTCTTTGTCTACTCTGTCTGGCTGCCATGTCCTTGGCTGCACTGCTCGGCGTGGGCCACACTCGGGGGCGACTCTCCTCCAGGGGGCCTGCTGGTGAGGGGGTCGAGGGCAGGCAAGGCTGGGGCAATGGCACGTGTACCCACAGAGAGGGCTCCGAGTGCTGACTCTGGCACCCGTGCCATAGGTTCACCACCACTGGCCTATGCCATGCCGGGAAAGGAGGCATGCTCTGGGCCCAATATTTCAGCTGGCAGGATCTAGGAGAAGAGCCTTCTCTGCCTTTGCTCCTGTCATTCGAAATATCTTGCCCTCCAGCGTGAGGTTGGCTCCCACCCTCCTGACCTTCTGCAAATTTATGAAATCTCAAGATAGTTTTGCAAGGAAGTTAAAAACATTCCAAAAGCAGGAATATGCTTAGTTGGCTACAAGAAATGTCTGGAAAACAAAGGAGATATTATGGAGTATTAAATGAAATAAATCCAAACTTATGTACTGGCGATATTTACTTTTTTCCTATGTTTATATGAAGGATAAATATGCATTGAGATTTACAGAAATATGTTGTATTTAACTTAGTACCATGTAGAGATTCTCTCTGCTTCTATTTGTTTAGGGATTAATTGAAACAGAATTTGAGCAGAGAATCTAAAATCTTTGCATGCAAGTGTATAAAGAAATCAGATCTTAAAATTACTTAATTATTTTCAAGAAGTAAAGTGAATAAAATTTATTTTTTGTTTTCATTTACCTCTATAGCTCGTAAGACATCCCTGAAGACAGATCGCTGTTTCCTTTTGTCTACTTTAGCACGATGCTTATTTCCATCTGTAGCCAGAGCCTTCAATTTCTGTTTTAGAAGTTCCAAATCCTCATAAAAAAAATCCTACAGAAATACAGAAGTTGTTTGTTGCATCTTAATGAAGTGTGCTCAAGTTTCAAAGAACAAACAGTGAACTTGCACATTATGTCAGAATCATATGCTTTATCGTTTAAAATAATTAAGCTACAACACAACAGGTTATCATTATTTAAGATCACTGTATCACAATATTGAAAGGATTGCTAGCAATGCAGTGTTTCCTTGAATTCTCTAAGCAGAATGCGATTTCTGTAAATGTTTTAATTCCACCCATTTTCAAACTTTAGGACTTTAGGAGAGGTGGTCTAAACTTACACGTTAGTATAAGCTAATCATAGTCTACAGTCCATTGCGCTAATATAAATGCTTTCAAATGAATGGCATTTGTATTAGAAAGCTGATTCATGAACTCTGGTTAAACAGATACTAAATTTATTGCTTCTGAAACAGCCATTTATTCCACACCTTTTACTTCCTGCACCATGGATATCAATTATTCAGTGCCAAGTATTTGCTCCCTTCTGTTGCATCTCATCTCATTCACCTTCACTTGTCATTTATCCTGTGTTGTGTGTAAATTTCCCCTCTCACTGTAGTTATGATTAACAGGGAAAATTTACAGCTGTATGCTGGGTATTATTTAAGCTAAGTATGCAAAGGAAGACCTGTTATTTGAGCAAGAACAATGACAACTATATAAGAAAATATTAAGATCAATTTCCATTAACTAAAGTCAGATATTACCATACAGGATTAAAGTTTTGCATGTTCATTATTTTTCCTTTCAAAATTAAATTGCCATAAAGAAAAGAAGAAACGGGTGACATGATAGCAGTATTCCAGTATCTGAAGGGCTGCTACAAAGAAGAGAGCATCAAACTATTCTCCAAAGCATCAGAGGGCAGGACAAGAAACAATGGTTGGAAACGGATCAAAGAGAAAAGCAACCTGGAATTAAGGAGAAAATTCCTAACAGTGAAGACAATTAATCAGTGGAACAGCTTGCCTTCAGAAATCGTGGGTGCTCCATCACTGGAGGTTTTTAAGAAGAAACTAGACAGTCATTTGTCTGAAATGGTATAGGTTCTCCTGCTTGAGCTGGGAGATGGACTAGAAGACCTCCAAGGTCCCTCCCAGCTCTATTCTATTCTATAGCTCAACCTGAAACTGCAGGTTTCAATTGCAAAAATCAGAGTAATATTTAAAAACTATGCAACACAATGGCTTTCTTGACTCTTTTATTCTTTTTCTCTTATCCTTTGTTGCCAAGTTTTTCTAGCTACCTTCCCAAGATAGGCTTTTGAATAAGCTGAGATTATTCTTCAGCACTGTTAAAGAAAACAGTAAATATATTAATAAAGGCATACTTAAAACTAATTAAACAAATTATTGAAGTCTAAATCTATATAATTTAAAAGACTCAAACCTTTCAAAAGTTTATGACTCTGTTTACTGTTAGTACTAAACAGTGCGTGCATTTAATACATTTAAGAAATTGTAATTAAGAAGGACTGCAAATCATTATAGTAGGATTCTAATAATTTATGTATCACTGATTACTACCAAACGAGCTATTCATATGCTGAATTTGAGCTGGATAATCTACATGGGTAGGATTAATATGCTTTTTATTTAGAGTGACCATATATGCAGATGGAGAAACCTGTAACTCTCCAAACATTGTAGAAGATTTCTCAAAATTCCTCCATACCAATATTGCAATATTATAATTCAATACATCCTGAGAAGTTGTAGATTTACTACACCTTTCAGTTTTCCCATCTGAACAAAGCAGTAATATTATAAAAGCACCATTCTAAATATTTACTATCTCTCCCAACTTTCTGCCTTCTATTTCTTTGGATATACCTCATCAGATTCTCTTGCAAGTTCAAATAAAACAGCCAATGTTTCCCCAGCAACAATTCTCATATTTACATCATCACAGGACAGCAGACTAGGAAATGTATGCAAATACCTAGGAAAATCAAAAGTACTTACAATAAATATATTGAACATGATAAAGCAGATCTAAGATATAGTGTTATGGTCCACAGAATTAAATTCCAAGGACTTTCAGATATTCTGATTTGCTTCCAGGAGTACAGAGAAAGTCTTTCAAACTAGAATTTCTGTTTTCTTTTTTTCTTGCATACCAGAATCCCTCCATTGATAGGGATCAAAAGAGGACATTCCATTCATACATCACAATCTGTGTAATACTAAAACTTCTGATTTCCCCAAAAAATACCCCACTGGCATAACAATTGCAACCAAAGCTGGAAAAATATTAAAATAAGGAAAACGGAGAAAAATGGCACCCTTCTTCCTTTTTCACATTAACCAATAGGGCTTTAGATAAGGCTGCTCCCTTAACCTATAATTAGAATGATTCAGCACAGGTCTCACTTCAAAGATGATTGCCAGGGAACACAATACTTACATTTCAAACTTTTTCTTCAGTTCATTCATTGGGCAGATAGTTAACAGAAGGGTCCATGCCACAAGAGCCCTTACATAAAGACCTGTGTTCTGAATGCTGGAAATACCATTTTGATTTCTCTCTTTCTGATAGGATTTTGTGAAGATACTTTCCAAGCATTCCATAGTCAAATATAATTCCTAAAAAAACAAACAATTATGCAAACATTTAACTGAACACTAAATAATAATACTTAACAAAAAATTTCTTACCGTGATATCGTCAGTATTAATAAAGCAACAGACTCCTAAGCAGGTAGCAGACTGGAAAAGAAAATTAAAACTCATGTTGATTTTTCTGGTACTTTCATAACAGTGATCAATATCCATAAGTCTATCATAGCTGATCTAGTTTTATTTGGCTTAAAATTGGATTATGTAATAAAAAAACCTGAAACAATTTTTTCAGTTCTAGAACAGCAACATTATCTATACACTTCCTATCAAGCACTGCTAAACTAGTGTTTTAAGAAGAAACTAGCAACATGAAATGCAACAGACTAAGAATGCTACCATGTTTCCCTGAAAATAAGCTATCCCGAAAATAAGCCTTAGCTTGATTTTTATGTGTGCACCTAATACCTCCAAAATAAGCCCTATTAAGACCCCGCCCACTCCATCCCAATGTCTAGTTGCACAAGTTAGGGTGAGGTTCACAAGTAAAAATTAAGCTGGGGGGGGGTGTAGCTGCACCATGCATTCTGCACCCGCTTACCTCAGGACCGCTGCAGCCAGGCCTCCCACACCCCAACACTTGCCTCACCTCAAGATGGCAGCACCAGCATCCCCATCCAGCAGGTACCTGCTTAGCCGCCGCCACCCCACTTCTGCAGCCACTTGCCAATGTCGCCCCCAGCCCCCGTTTCACCGGCAGAGGCCTTCCGGAAAGGCCTCTGCAGTCTAGAACAGAGCTCTGAGTTGATCCATGCATCGCCCCCCCAGCCTGTTTCACCGGCAGAGGCCTTTTCCTGAAGGCCTCTGCTGGCGAAACAGGAGGCTGGGGACAAAGTGTACGAGCAGTGGCAAGCAGCCAAAGAAGTGGGCTGGTGGCAGCCAGGTGAGCTCCTGCTGAATGAGGCTGTTGGATCCGCTGCCGTGAGGCAATGAAGGAAAAAAAAAGACATTCCCTGAAAATAAGACGTAATGCCTCTTTTGGAGGCAATATATGTATGTATGTATGTATGTATGTATAAGACCGGGTCTTATTTTCAGGGAAACATAGTATTAGGCCAAGTCTAACCAAGGGAATAACTTCAATCAGAATAGAGCTAGAAGGGACCTTGGAGGTCTTCTAGTCCAGCTCCCTACTCAAGCAGGAAGCCCTATATCATTTCAGACAAGTGGTTTTCCAGTCTCTTCTTAAAAACCTCAAGTGATAAAGAGCCCACAATGTCTGAAGGCAAGCTGTTTCACTGGTTAATTGTCCTCAGTGTTAGGAAGTTTCTTCCAGGCTGCTTTTCTCCTTGATTAGTTTCCATCCACTGTGTCTTGTCTTGCCTTTTGGTTCTTTGGAAAATAAACTGACCCCCTCCACCTTGAGGCAGCCTCTCAAATACTGGAATACTGCTATCATGTCCCCCCTAGTCCTTCTTTTCTCTAGACTGGCCATTCCCAAATCCTGCAACTGTTCTTCATATGTTTTAGTCTCCAGGCCTTTAATCATCGTAGTTGCTCTTCCTTGCACTTTCTCCAAAATCTCTACATCTTTTTTGTAATGTAGTGATCCAAACTGGATGCAGTATTCCAGATGTGGCCTTAGTAAGGTTTTATAAAGCAGTACTAATATTTTATGTGACTTTGATTCTATGCCTCTGTTTATATAACCAATGATTGTATTAGCTTTTTTGGCTGCTGCCACACACTGCTGGCTCACGTTCAAGTGATTGTCCACTAGGACTTCAAGGTACCTCTCAGTTACTGTTTTTGAGCCAGGTTTCACTTAAATCTGTACTTGTACCTTTGGTTTTTCCTGCCCAGATGTAAAACCTAGCTTTTCTCCACATTAAATATCACTTTGTTGGATATGGCCCATTGTTCAAGTCTGTCAAGATCTTTTGGGATTCTGAGCTTGTTCTTCTGGGGTGTTGACTTTTCCTGCCACCTTAGTGTCATCTGCAAATTTAATGAGTTCCCCTTCTATTCCCTCATCTAAGTCATCTATGAAGATATTGAGGAGTGCTGGGCCTAGGACGGAACCTTATGGTACCCCACTGCTTACTTTCCTCCATGAAGATGTAGTACCATTAAGGACTACTTGTTGAATACGGTTTGTCAGCCAGTTACAAATCCATCTGGTGGTGATGCTGTCTATCCTATGTTTTTCTAGCTTATCAAGAAGTAAGTTGTGATCTACTTTGTTGAATGCCTTACTAAAATCTAAATATACTATGTCCACAGCATTTCGCTGGACTACTAATTTAGTAGTTTGTCTAAGAATGAAATAAGATTGGTTTGGCGTGATCTGTTTTTAACAAACCCATGCTGGCTAACAACTTTATTTGTTTCTAGATGTTCACAGATCTATTTTTTTATTATTTTTTCCACTATCTTCCCAGGTATTGATATTAGGCTGATTGATCTGTAGTTTCCTGGGTCTGGTTCCCCGCCCTCTTTTTTTTGAAAATGGGAGCATCAGCTCTTTTCCAATCCTCTGGTAGTTCCCCAACGCTCCAAATTTTTTTAAAGATATGATACAATGGTTCTGAGATAACATCTGCCAGTTCCTTCAGAACTCTGGGGTGTAATCCATCAGGTTCCAGTGATGTATATTCATCAAGGTCAGACAGGTATTCTCTTACCATTTTCTTGCTTATTGTAATTTTTATTTCTAATCTGTTTTTTACAGTTATGTTTTTAGTAGGTTGGACTATAGTTTATTTTTGTGTGAAGACTGATGCAAAGAATGAGTCAAGCAATTCTGCTTTCTCTCTATTGCCTGTTACTTCCTTGCACCTTCTCTCTTTAGTGGACCAGCTGTTTCCTTGACTTAATTCTTGTTATTAATATGTTGAAAGAAACATTAAAAATTATCTTTGACTTTTGTTGGAAGTCTTTCCATTCTGAGCCTTTGCTTTCCTGACTTCATCTTTGCAGGTTCTGGCTATCTGCTGATATTCTGCCTTAGTTATGTGTCCCACTTTCCATTTTTTGTACTTATCCATTTTGTCTTTCAGTTTATCAGAGAAATCTTTGTGTAACCATGCTGGTTTCTTCTTGAATTTTTCTTTTTCAGTGGTATTGTGCTGGACTGGGCTTTTATGATCGCATTTTTCAGTTTCCCACATTTCCTGAGTTGTTTTCCCCTTTATGATTTTCATCCATGCAGTCTTTCTGTGGCTCTCTCTGAGTTTCTTAAAATAGCTCTTTTAAAGTTTAAGATACTGGTTGGATTATATTCTATTGCTTATGTTTGTATTATATTGAATTCCAGTATGATGTGGTCACTCTTGCCCAAGGGTCCAGCAATTTCAACTCCTTCTATCACTTCTTCTCTATTAATAAGAATTAGGTCCAGTGTAGCTTTTCCTCTAGTTCTCCCTCTAACTTTTGGATGACAAATTGTCAGCTAAGTTTGTTAGGAATCTGTTCAATCTCCCACTTGCTGCAGAGTTTGTTTCTCAGTTGATATCAGGGTTGTTAAAAGTCTCCCATAACTACTGTGATGTTTCCTACATACATTTGTTAATTGATTAGCAAAGAGTTTATCTATTTCTTCTACTTAGTTGGGTGGCCTGTGGTATACCCTAGGGGTCCCCAGCCTCTGGTCTGTGGACAGTACCGGGCTATGGCATGCCAGCAACCAGTCCGTGAAAACAAGCAAAGCCACATCTACAGGATGCAGGCAGCAGACAAAACCACGCCTCCCTGGTCCGTGGAAAAACCTCTCTCCACAGAACTGGTCCCTGGTGCCCAAAAGGTTGGGGACCTCTGATATAAGCCTATAGCAATGTCATTCTTTTTTCCTTTTATTTTGACCCATATGGATTCTAGGTTTTCATCCTTGGTTTTGTATATTTCTGTAAAGATGTAGTGATCGTTTATATATAATGCAACTCCACTTCCTCTTTTGTTGAGTCTGTTTCTTTTGAGTAGTTTATATCCTTCCACCAGTATATTCTAGTCATAAGTTTATCTATATACTTACAGCTTGCCTAGCTTGCGTACTTGCTGATACATCACAGAGTATTTTTTTCAGGACAGGTGCAAGGGTTTTAAAGACTTCCTCACTTTCAATTCCTGACCCCAACTGTATGCAGAGCAGACAAGCCAGTCCGGTAGCTGCACGCTGTTCATCACCCTTGCCTACAATGAAAACCAATAAGAAATCATGATAAAATACATCTGAAAAAAATGGACTTCATTAACAGAATATTACTTTTCAGAAAGATAAAGAATAGCATTACCTTTCTTGATACAACGTTCAATACTGTCTGTGAGTGTTATTCTCCTTTCCAGGATGAACTCATAAAGCATTTTTGATGTCAAAGCACTTTTCAGACCATCAAGAGCAGACCATCTTGTCTTTGTACTTTTGAGATAAAATGCAGGAATTCATGGTAAAATGTCAGTTATAAAAATTACATAATCCTTTTTTAGATTTCCTGCACATTTGTAAGGAACACATTACCATAAATGACATATTATCTATCTATATACTACTAAAACTCTTGTGTCTGTAACTTTTATCTAGGAGAAACACTGCATTTTTGACCCAAAGTATTGAAAGGGGCTAATTTATAGAACACATGATTTCCATGATACTGAAATTTGGCAAATAAAATGATCACAAAACATTTTATGACATAATATAAAATATCAGAAAACATTTCCTATGATCAACCTGGGATACTTTCAGTACAAATGTATCTCTGAATATCTCTCTGAATTTTTAAAGAAATTTTCTAGAACATTAGAAGCTCTATGCCAGGTCCACCATGGTGTCCTGCCATTCTGTTGAAGGGGAGGGAGGATGCCTTGCTGGCATTTTTACATACTTTTGCTGTAACTGCTTAGGAATTAGGGAGGGGGATTGTCTTCGGAGACAAAGCAGACTCCTTCCCAGGCAGTTCCAACTTTGTTCCAAAGCCGTCATATCCTAAGAGTGACCTGTTATCTGCCCAGCACCTCAGCATTCTCAAAATAATCTTGCGGTATCACTTTGGCTGCTGATGGACTGGTCAGGGGGTTGGATTTGAGGAAACGAAAGAATTGTTTTGTGCTTTGCACAGGACCTTCAGATTCTTCCTGACTTGTCTGCAACCACTTTCTCTCAGTAAAAGTTCTTTTGATTCAACTCAATGAAGTCAAGAATTTTGCTTTCCTGAGGAACCAGCTAGGGCATGTCTTTACATTAGGCAGAATCTGCAAGTTCAGTCAAACCAAAGAGGCACACAGCCGTACCATGGGGACCATGCACACGATGTCAGCCTTAGGCAGTAATTAGGTGGAAGCTGAGTGCTGGGGGGAAGCGTCGTCCTGATCTCCCCCCAGGCTGGGCGTCTCTGAAAGGAAGGAGGAGGTTGGGAACCTAAGAGACTAATCAGTCCCCTTGGAGTTGGAAAGAAGGACGATTAGGAAGGAAGAACCATGGGGTGCCCCTCACCCAGGGCAGCCGTGGGAGCTGACAGAAGTGGTAGCCAGAGCTAGAAGAGCTTGAGGACGGGGAGGAGGAAAGTGGAGAATCTGATCATCCGACCAAGCTTTCCAAACCTTGAAGGCAAATGAACCCCATGCCATGGCTGCTGCCAGCGAGATCTGACAGACCCAAAAGGAAGATGATGGGGGAAAGTGCTTGTTGTTAGACACCATGGTGGGAGCTTCATTGACCCCATCCACTGTTACCGCAGCTGCAGACGTGGCACTGAGGGGGGCCACCAGGGCTAATGCTCCAGTGGGGTCTGGCCAGGCAAAAGCAAAGCATTGGAACACCCCACCCCTTGGCATGAAGTTTGATGGAGATCCCCAGCAGCTGGGATTTTTCCTAGCTCATATACTAACTTACATGCAAGAATAAGGGCCAGAGATTCCCACTGAAGGTGCCAAGGTGAGGAATGTCACCCTGGCACTGGAAGGAGCTATGGCCCATTGGATGGTGATGCTTCACAACGCGAATGAACTGAGAAACTTCAATCGCTTCATGACAGCGCTTCATCAGCAGTTTGAAGACTTCTTAGCTAACTGCAAAGCGAGGGACTGCATTAAGACCATGCATCAGGACCACAGAGCAGTGGCGGAGTTCACGAAGAAATTCCATGACCTGGCATGCTGACTCAATGACTGGCTGGAGGACATCCTCATCAGCTGTTTCAAGGATTGAACAACAATTTGTATAATGCCTGCATCTCGAGGGGAGTCCCCGCAATCCTCCACAATTGGTACATCCTGGCTGAGGAAGTGGAAATCAAACAGGCAAATAACAAGTATCGCCTGCCTAGACATGGAAAAAATCACCCCAGAGAAGAGAGATGACAAAACTGCAAAACCTGCAGCCATGCTCCACTACCTGCTTCAAATGAGGTCAGGAATGGCACCGAGCAGCAGAGTGCAAGACCGGCCACCCTACCAAGAAAACCACTTCTGGTCCTGCGGGGAAGGCCACCAAGGCACCACCACTGGCTAGGGAAACAGTGCTGAAGGTCATTGAGTTCATCCTGTCACCAAAACAAAATGAGGGAACTCTGACCTCACCGATTGATGGCCAGGAGCTAACTGACACCAATTCCGATGATGATACCCTGGTAAGTGGCCCAATCACACTAGTAATAATCCCCATAGAGCTACATTTCCAGCCTGAAAGTTAATTAACCAGGCTGTACCAGGTGCCTGGTGCCAAGTACTGGTCGAAAGGCTGGGCATTCAGTTGAGAAGGCTGAAAGTCCTGATCGCTTTTAGCCAACTAGATGGTTCCATAGGAATGGGCATCCTGGAAACTTTTGTCACAGCCAATAGAAATGCGAATGGGGGCTTCCAGTTTTGTGCAGTAGCATAAGCTGAGGGATCATGGGGCTCCGCACCCTACGGCTGATTCTTTTGTTTGGGGACCCTAAATGGGCCTAAAGTTGCCCCAGAGAGGTGACAAAGAAGGAGGGAAGCCCCACCGACCATGGAGAGACAGTGGTCAATCTGGTCGGTCCAAGAAAAGCCCTCCAGAAACCAGCAGGAGAAAGTCTAGCTTAACTCCAGAGCTACAAGCAGCCGAAATCCAAAAGTACTATTTTAAGCTGACTGTAAACAATGTGATTGGAACTAGGTAAGAACATTGATTTTCTCTCTTCCACTTGATAATTGATTTCCTGGGAAAAAACAAAACCCCAAGAAGCAAAAAGCCTCCGAAAGTGAGAAAGAAGGGGTTGCCCCACTCTCCTACAGACGGAAGCGGCGAATTAAACTTTTTATGGGTGACAGAAATCTATTGAAATGAAATGAATAAAAGACCTAAATCTGGACAAGTTTGAAATTGGTGGAATTTGTTAAGATTTTCTTTTTAAATCATGAAAAAGAATAAAGCAATTGTTTATTTTGAAAACTGAAAAACAATCTGGTGCTGACATTTAGTGGTGGATGAAAATATATACAATAGTAGTTGCTCCAATATAGGAACTGGCAAAGCCCAGGAAAAGATAACTTGGTTTGGTGATCTTCAATGTTTTAATAACAGAGAACAGCTGTGACAAAAAAACAAAAACATTTTGAGCTATCTACAAAGTGAGAATTGTAAACTTTAGAAAAAAAATTGACCTTTCTGGATTATAAATACCTATTCAATTGTGACTCTAAAGCTGTTTGCAGAGAAAGGAAAACCCTGATTTTTGGCTATCATGGAAAATCAGAGAACTGCAGAAAGAATATACCAAGAAAAAACAAACACTTTCCAGGAAAAGATAACTAACACTCTAAGATCACAAAATAAGTCTGAGGACAAGAAAAAAGATTTGACAAAATGGATTACAGAGCTGTCAGGAGAACTACAAGAACTTGAGAGACAAAAATGATAAGAGAAATTAAGAGAGAAAGAAAAGATTTTCAATGAATACGAAAGGGCAAAACCTTCCCATAAAAACATCTTACTTGATTTGCCTTTTGTACCTGCAACAACATCTACAAGACTATGGGAAGACTTTTGATTCAGCGGAGCATATTGATCAGGAAAGATGTTTGGCAAAAAAAGAAAAAAGAAAAGGCTAAAGTGAGAATTAATAAATTAAATGATGGGACTTATCAGAGGGAATATTTAAAAATTAAACATCTGTTTGAATATGGTTAAAGAAATAGAAAGATTTTGGATATAAATGAATTTTAGTTTAAGAGGGATGAGCCGCTCAAGTAACACAGTATTTTTCTTTCTTTTTTCTTTTTTGTTTTGCTTTTTGACATGAGAAATATAAAAATGTTGGGATGGTTTATATAAAGGAAATGTTTTAGATACTTAAGTGTAATTGATCTTGAGAAAATTTCAATGGATAAAAATGTTTTGATATATCTAAAAGATTAGATCATTGGATTTATTAAATGGAACATTTGAAGATTAAACATATGTTTGAATTTGGTTAAAAATAAGAGAAAAATTCTGGATATAAATATACATTAGCCTAAGAGGGACATGTATTTTAAGTAGTATACTATCTTCTTATTTCTTTTTTTTCTCTTTTTTGTTGTTATTGTTTTTTAAGACATGAGAAATGTAAAAGTGTTGGGATGGCCTGTATGAGGGAAAATACTTAAGTGTAATTAACTCTGAGAAAATCTGAACCGGTAAGAATGTTTTGAACATTGGAGGGAAAACAAATTTAAATAAGAATTTTGTAAACAGGATCTATGACGAGGGATGATCAATTAAAAAAGAAGCTTTATATTGATGTGATTATTTGCAGAAATATTAGAAAAATGTCTATATTTGTTATTTATCAAAATAATAAGAACTGTATTAATTCAAGGTTGGCAAAAGAGAATATTATTGGAAGAAAAGAAAATCAAGCAAAGCTATTATGTGGACTATAGAATTATAGAAACTAATTGTTATTGTTTTTTAAATATAAACCCAGACAACATGCTGTTTACCAAATATTAGATTGATTATGTTAAAAAAATCACATTTCAATAAAAAAGAAATGTGAATGGGGGCCCACTTAGAGACTCTAAGCTTTATAGTAGCACCCGAGATGGAATGGCCCCCATTGCTAGGGCTAGCTTGGCTAAAGAAGTAGAACCTTTATGTGAACTGGAGAAGGGGACTGTTAAAAATCTGAACGAACTGCCCTCCCCAGAGTGAGAGAAAATCCGGAAGGCGACATCCCCACGGCGGAAATTAGGGGCAGCAGCGCAAGGGGACAACCTTGCTGTTATCCCCAATGAGTATTAGGATCTAAGACAGTGTTTCTCAACCTTGACAATTTTAAGGCATGTGGACTTCAACTCCCAGAATTCCACAGCCAGCATTGCTGGAATTCTGGGAGTTGAAGTCCACATGCCTTAAAATTGTCAAGGTTGAGAAAAGAGCGTTGTCTTACCTGAACGCTTTTTCTCAGCAGG